GTTAAGGATGACTAGTTCTAAGTGTCTATTGGAGTTGGAGAGACACTTAGAGTAGTTTAGGACTTTGTTTTTCCTTTGGTCGTACTATTAAGGGGGTATGGACAGGTAGCTTGACCTAGGTGAGTCTAGTGAGTTAGGTGTGGTGCACACTTGTTAAAACTAGCACTAGGTTGCTCCTAAATATGCCTCAGATCCTTTGGAGCAAACTTTATTCACAAATGATCGAGAGTTGGAAGTGAATGGAGGGTTAAAGACTGACCGGACGTTGGCTCCGGTGCGACCGGACGCTGGCCGCAGGGTCCGGTCAGTTCATTTGACTAAGGTGAACTAGTCCAGTTTGACCGGACGCTGGAGAGGTCAAGTGACCGGATGCTGAGGGCCAGCGTCCGGTCGACTCCAGTAAGGTTCCAGAGAAGAGAATCTGCGACCGGACGCGTCCGGTCAGTGCTGACCGGACCCTAGCGGTTCAACGTTTGGTCGAGTACAGTAAGCATCCAGTGAGGGAAAAATGGGACTGGACACGTCCGGTCAGTGGTGACCGGACCCTGCCAGCGTCCGGTCAACACTTAAACACTGGTGTGCGGGTTGAACTGACCGGAGCGTCCGGTCAGAATTCTAGAGAAGAGAATCTGCGACCGAACGCGTCCGGTCAGTGCTGACCGGACCCTGGGGGTTCAGCGTCTGGTCGAGTACAGTAAGCATCCAGTGAGGGAAAATGGGACCGGACACGTCCGGTCAGTGGTGACCGGACCCTGCCAGCATCCGGTCAACACTTAAACACTGGTGTGCGGGTTGAACTGACTGGAGCGTCCGGTCACCCCGCAGAGGCACATAACGGTTCATTTTTCAGGCTGTCTTATAAATAGAAGCTCCACTCGTGTGTGGAGTGACTTTTGCTCATTTCAACAGCTGAAACACACCTTAGAGAGTGCCAAGAAGAGCAAGGTCCTAGTGAGGTGATTGAGATTTGAGAATCCAAAGAGAGCCCTCATTAGTGAAGATCAAGAGTAGCAAAGTGTGCATCCACCCTTCTCCCTAGGCTTGTTGTGGTCAAGTGAGAGTTCGTGCTTGTTACTCTTGGTGATCGCCATCACCTAGACGGCTTGGTGGTGATTAGGAGCTTGGTGATCATCCGGAGAGCTTGTGGATGACCCAACTCAAGTTATGAGCGGTTGTGGGTGATTCACCGTGACGGAGTGTCAAAGAATCAACCCATAAAGAGCACTTGATCCTTGTGCGGATCAAGGGGGAGCTACACCCTTGCGCGGGTGCTCCAACGAGGACTAGTGGAGAGTGACGACTCTCCGATACCTCGGCAAAACATCGCCGTGTTTTCTCTTCTCTCTTTACTTTGAGCATTTCAATTATTGTCATTTACATTCCTAGAATTGCCATGCTAGAGTAGGATTGGAACTAGGTTGCTAAACTTTTAGTGCGTTAGATCAATAGAAATATTTTTCTAGGCACAAGGGGTTAATTGAGCTAACCATAGGACTTGTTTATTGCGAAGAAATTTAGAATTAGCTCAATTTACCCCTCCTCTTGGGCATCTTGATCCTTTCAGAGACAATTATTATTTTGCCAAAACCTTTATAAGAGCATCTCTAATAGTTTCTAAACAATCACTTGGTACAATTGTCCCTATCGATTCCCTTCCTAACCCAAAGACCTCATTGGTGCATGTACACCGTGCTCGTAGGTATAGAAATTGTAAAGGAGATATTGTTTGCTTAGTTTGGTTGAGATCATAGATGATGTCAAACCAATTAGAACAGTTCGATTTACATATTGCATCCAACTTTTTCTTCTTTCTTCGCTATGTAGTTGCCCATTTGATGATGCTTGGCCTTCACCCAGCTCCTGCCCATAACTAGAGCTTTTCAAAGCTTAGGACGATGAGTGCAACAACCTAAAGGAAGCAAATCCCTAACTTTGCTCCCTGTGATGACTTTGAGTCACTCACAGGTTGACCTGATTATAATCAATCAGGCCCACCTACCAGTGACTCAGTTACAGGGAGCAAATCAATCAAGCCCACTTGCAGCGATTCAAAGTCACAGGAAGTGAAGTTAGAGGAGTCTCATCCAAACCTAAAGCCTTGTATATTGTCTCTAATTATCTATCAACTCCCTTCCTAACCCAAATACCTTATTGGTGTGTGAAACCCGTGCTAGTAGACATGGAAATTTTAAAGGAGATATTGGGCGTGCTTGGTTTCACTGGGTGGCTCGCCTATCCTAGCCTCTTCTGGCTAGCACAGAGCATGAGAACCTTGCCTAGCCAGAAGAGTCAATTTGGCTCTCTCAGGCTAGCAAGGCAGAACTTGCTTGCATAATCTTCAAGATAGTTAGGCAACACGACCAAACCAAACAACCAAAACTTGCTTGTGTTATGTGGTGTTGAATGCCATATTACATTTTGAAATGACCATACTAATTGAAAAATAAAGAACTAGGCATGGATAGGGAACCATATGGTATATGTGTTTCTTTAGATGGTATGTTACATGAAGATAGCATGCGTTGTCCATGATCAAATATAATAATAGCTATGGTTTAGTACAAAATACTCAATAAATTACTAGTATGGAATTGTCGTTTTCTTTTATCTTGCTAATCAAATAGAGTGTAAATATATGATTTAGGATTTTCGCATGGACATAAGCATGCCTATTATAATAGCAATTATTTGATAACTATCACTTAATTTTCATCATACATAGTTTGCATGTTTTTTCTAGAAATTTTACATTTATTATTCGACATAGCTTAATACAAATAGGATTATTATTGCTATTATTGATTTATCATGAGATTTTTTGGGTGGTGGTGCTAGTGGGGTGTGAGTATGGGTATGGATGGGGAGGGGGGCATTGGCCCCCTATATTATCTTTTTTGTCGACAAAAAATGTGGGCATCTCGCACTAAACTAAGTCATAAAATTGCAAAGAAAAATGGAGGTCAAGATTGATACTCGCTTTACTACCTATAATCTCACGAACCTTTATACATGCCCGTCAGAACCTGGTGATTGCTTGCTAACAGCTGATCTAGCTTTTGCCCTATAACCCCTAAGGCGTATGATTTTTTTAATAATAAAGTGTAGCATGTTCCTCTGTTCCATTTTTGAGTAAAGGATCCTTTAGCTTTATGTGGTCCTACGATCTCCAAATTATCAAGACTGGCTGACGATCATAGCGAAAGTTCAAGCAAACTTACTCACGGACCATGACGATCGACACCGTGTTTGTCACAGTTTTTTTTCGATTACACAGTACAACGCAGACACTCACAATATACGTATACGGCATACTCACCTCTACGAACGTATGCACGCAAATTCAACCCGTAGGAGCATCTTCGAAGACTAGGCTAGCAAATCCTCAAGATTGCGGAAGTCACCATAGGTGTTTCGCTGTCGATGAGAACATCGCCTACCACTAAAAATACAACGCTTGTTAAATCCTGAAAAATTCGCTCCCACGGGAAATGAAACGTATGACCTGGAGTGCTGCTGAGGTTCTTGCCACTGGCCTACCGGCCCTTTCGTTTATTTGTCACAGTTGAACAAAAACATTGCCCACGCTGAACACATTCAATCACAAGAAATCTAGGAGGCACGTTACACTAGTAGACTCCTAACAGCCTGTTTGGTCTTCAGAGTGAATCCATTTCATATGTGCTGGTCAGAAATCACCTCGTCTGTTTTTTTTTCCGGAACGACTTTACCCGAGATTAACTCGTTGTTACCACGGCACAGCTCCCTAAACATCCCACAAGAAAGTGCTACTGCGCTAGCGTCTATTTTCGCTTCCTCAGTGCTTAGCATGGCGTTGAAGAGGACGACGGTGCGTGGAAAGAACAGGAATCATAGCTTCGGACGGATGAATCTAGCGTAGCAACATCTTAGACTTACGGTATGTTTGATTCACCCTAACTAAAATTTAGCTAGCTAATTGTTAGAGTTAAAATTTAGCTAGCTAATCTTGAGCTAGCTAGAGGTGTTTGGATCCTCTAGCTAATTAAAAACTTTAACCATGCTACTACTTATTAATTTCATTGGTTTAGCTAGCTAAATTTTAGCCGGGAATGTTTGGATTCTCTACCTAAACTTAAGCTGAGGGTACTTTGGTCATTGAGGCATGTGAGAACTTTTAGCTAGATTAAAACGGCTAAAGTGATTATGTACATTTTGGCCTCCAGCTAAAGTTTTGCTGGATTAAGCCGTGGGCTGTTTGAATCTAGCATAGCTGAATTTAGTCTGCTAAAGTTTAGCTGATGATTTAAACAGGGCCTTAATCTCGTGGGATGGAGAAAGCACAATACTCTCTGGTCTGAAAGTGCCGAGGACGTGGCTCCCCACTTCCCACGACGGGGACAGGAGTACAGGACAACACACACGAATGTCATGTGCCCTCTAGGCTATCTCTAGTTTCCCCGAGCCACGGGAGATACCAAGCTGCTTTGACTTTTGACCAAACAACTTCAGCTCTTGCCACTGGAACCATCTTCATGCCAATTAATGTATGCTCGTGCTACTCGCTATTTATTTATTTTCCTTTTTTTATAGAAAAAAATGACAAACATCGTGAACGATTGGATTCGCCCACACGTCCACGCACCCCATTCTGCATTGCACGACCTTGTTCTTAGCCGGCTGTCCTATGCAAAACAAAAGAAGAGAAGAAGAAAGAAACAAAAACAAAAACAAAAACAAAAACAAAAAGCAAAACAAAACAAAAAGGCTATCCATGGATTGGTATCAGGTAAGAAGGAGGGTGTGTCATGAATAATAACACAATTTGTTTTCCTTCTGTTCTCCAGTCTTAAGAGAAGTACAAGCGTGGCCTCATGGACTAGGCAGTATATACTTATATCAGTGGACTGGGCTGCAGGAGTACAAATCAAACTGGGAAAACAAGAGTTTGCTTTCAGATTTCGTTTTTTGCTAGTACAAAATACATATGCGAGTCCGCTACAGCACGATGGCGGTTTGGCAGATCACCGGTGCTTTCCCGGGAATCCACCTCCACTCTTGCGTATGAAGGTGTTCCTGTTCTTCGGCTTAGGTATGTCGTGGATATCCATCACTTGTATTGTCCTCTGCTTTTTCGCTGAAAAGGGAGCGGGAAAAAGATGTTAGGAAAAATGGGTATCAATCTTACTGCTTTTGGATCACAATGACATAGTGTTAGCCTGACAGTTTAGCGCGTCATTTTAACAAGTTGAATGGGAAATCAGACTAAGAATTATATGTAGCGAGATGCTATTTAACTTTGTAAGGCTCTAAGTCAATGGTAAGTGTACAGAGCGTGCCATTGAAATATTACCATTTTGCGCTTCCTGGTAGTTTTCCTGAAGCCTCTTCCTCGCTGAATCTAGCTTCTCAGCATCCAAAAGAGTGTTCTTTTGCTCCCTCATCACTCTCTGCGGAGTGTAATTATGAACATCACATGAAAGAATAGGCGCTGTTATGCTAAACGTGAGCAGAGCAAAGTCAAAAGTCTAAGAAAAGTTAAAGCCTAATTATGATAAGGGCCTTTTTCACTACTTTGCATGATAACACCAATGTGCAGTGAGTGGTGTATAGTGAGGCTAGTGAACAGATGACAACTCCATGCTGATAGAGTTTGGCCTTATTTCTTCTTTCTTTTTTAGGGAGGACTGAACTTTATTTTCAAGCCTTTTTGTTGTGCATTAAACAAAACCAAGTGCATAGTCCCTTTGCAATGACAAGTACAGCTGTAAGAAAAATCAGAGAGGACTGTATGGTCAAAGACTTACAGCTGGTGCTGATGATGAAACAGTAGAATAGTTGTTGCTGTTGTTCTGCTTAGTGTTATGGTATGCAGGAGCAGGGCTCGTTCTACGCTTCTCCATTGTTGATTCCACCAAATTATGATTGCCAGACCTCTCTGAGCTCAAAACATCTAAGGTCCAAAATAGGGACCATCAGTACACATCAGTTGGTCATGCAATGTACGAGCTCTACTTAAACCTCTTAGGGGATGGACATGGGAACTCACTATGCCTCTGTGGGCTGGGAGAATACTTGAAGTCTGAAGCCTGCAATTGCACAATAGCAACAAAATAAATTGATTTTTTGTTGGCAAGCATGCCATTGAGACGAGAAAAATAATTTAAAGGTATAAGAAGATTGGTATGAAGCATTAAAGCTTTGTTTAGCCTTTTTAGTTGTTACTAAGACGTGTGCTGCAAAGTATGACACTTTGGGAGTACATAATGGATTCACTAGAAAGGGAAATTGAACTACACACCTTTAGCACGATACTGTCCACAGGTCTAACCTCTCAGAAAAATGGATTTGCTAAATCGGGTGTGACATAATTATCTTATTTGCAATTATTAATTTACTATATACAAGAAACATAAGATCAGCCCACATTGGAGCGTGAAAGAATAGTTACATGAGTATTTTGATGGTACTTGGGTTGGACTTTATCAGGTGAGTCACCATCGCCTGCCACCATGAATCAAATGTATCAAAATTATCACCAAGCACAAAGAAATTCCAAAAGCTTTGGAGCTAAACACAACGCATTAGACAAGTTCAAAATTCTGTACAGCAACGTACTTATGATCGAGCCACCACCATCACCACCTGAGTTGTGCAGCCTCACCCAGTCATCCACAATCTCCTTCCATTTCCTTAAAGACCGAAGACAAAGACAAATCCACAATCAGATTATCAGAAGATAGTTATGCCTTATTATCGATTCAATAGAGCAGTCAGCTGGTTCATCACCTGACGAGCAGCTTCACCAGTTGCCGGACCTCACTGGATGGGTGCTTACGCAGGCCATTCACATGGCGGCCGATGTCCGTGTCCTGCAAAAAACAGAATCGCAAACTTTTCACCACGTTGAGCTGCCTGCCTCAGAAAGCATCCAAACCAATCTTTCCTTGAACATGACCAAGGAAAAGCGGAAGCTAAAAGCAAGTTTGACCTGGAGAGCCTTGTAGGTGATGTCCATGTCTGCTAGGTTCTGCAGCAGGCTCACCATCTCGTCCTCCGACTGTGAGGAGACCACACGACAGAGGTACAGATTGCAACGAAGCAGTGAGCCTTTTCTCTCCTTTTGTCAGCAAAATTGTAGTACTGTCAATCAAAGCGGTAAAGATGGGATATTTGAGGACCTGGTCGGGGTCCTCCAGGAAATCCCTGATCGCCAGGATCTTGCTCTCCACACCGGCGTCGGCATCCGCATCGTCGTCGTCGAGGCCGTCCGCGTCGACCTCCTCGTCAGGCGAGGCCGGAGACAACGACGCGGCCGCCGCAGGAGCAGCAGCAGCAGCGACGGCACCATTCGGCTGAGCAGGCGGCGGGGGAGCGTCTGCGTCGGCGTTGCAGTTGCGGCAGCGGGCTGCCCCTGCGTAGAGGCGCTGGACGATGCCGTCGCGGCGCGCGCGCAGCTCGGCGGGGCTGTCCCGCGCGGCGGCGGCGAGTGCCGCGTCCACGAGGCTCCACACGTCGCCGCCGCCGCCGAACGCGGCCAGCGCGCGGCGGAGGCGCCCGTCGGAGCTCATACTAGCTGCGGCGGGGCGGTCGCCGGCGGCGCGGGGAGCGGGATCCTCGACGGCCCACCCACACAAGATCCGGTAACGCAACCGGCAGAAATTCCTCGGAGGCAAACGAACGCTAGGCCGCCGAAGAAGCGCTCGGCGCCGGCGCGGCCTTCGGCGGGGGCGCAGCCATGCCGATGTCCGGACGGATCGGTGGGAGAAGGCGATCCGGACTGGAGGAGGAGGGCGAGGGCGCTGCTGTGGGGAATCGGACGGGACAAGGGAGGGCGGAGTGGATCCGATAAGGGATGTTCCGGACCCGTTAACGGCGTGGTGCAGGTGGGTGCATGGTTGGTTGGTTGGCAAAGCGGAGCGATTGGGGACCAAAAATTCCCGCGGGTACATTCCTTATTCCGGCGGCTGATTTGTCACAATTCGTTGTGCCTGTTGTTTTTTTAAAGAAATTGCAACTTTTTTTTTTTTTTTATTTTCACGACTTCACACATATTTCATTAAGAAGTATGTGTGAATTCCAATTGATATATGGACTAGCTTTCGTATTTCATCAAGGAATTTCTGGTATTGAAAAAAATATAGTTATTTTTGAAAAAAAAAAAAGTTCAAGCTGCACATTGGTGTTCCAATTAATGCAAAGAAAAATTGGTTTTCTATCATTTTAACTAATTTATTGCATCGTAATTGAAACATGTTACTATTTGATTGCTCATGGTAAGATCCTTCAACCGCCATATGCACCTGGGATTTAAAGTAATTTGTTGCATCATAATTGAAACATGCTACAATTTGATTGTTCATGGTAAGATCCTGATGCACCTGGGATTTAAAGTAATTTGTTGCATCATAATTGAGACATGGTACTATCCGATTGCTCACTCATGGTAAGATCCTGCAACCACTACATGCACACCTGGGATTTAAACTAATTTTGTTGCGTCATAATTGAAACATGGTACCGTTTGATTGCTCATAGTCATAGCAAGATCCTTCAACCACTACCCTAGCAGTGACTCAAGTACGCAACTCATTTTCATTAGGTGACTATGAAAATGTCTTTTTTGTGTGTGCTGCTTAGCTGCTACTTGTAATGATGATTTAACACGGTTCTAACCAGGGGCGGAGCGCAATGAAGGTGAAACTGGGCTCCCGCCGCCCCTTGGGCCAGATAATTTTTGGTGGCCCAATGAATTTCTCAGCATTTCTTTATGGACATAGAACACCATTAGAACAGCACTGGCCCAGAGCGAAGAGCAGCCCACTCACGCACCATGCACCAGCCCAGAGCGAAGAGCAGCTCCACACGCATGTATGCGCAGCCCACGCATGGACTATCACTTGTCTTTTTTATTATAAAAACAAAAATTGCCCCCCTGCCATTTGTTCCACGCTCCGCCGCTGGTTCTAACCTTCGTGGTTCGTAATATAATATTAATATAAAAGAAGTATGGCAAACTTGGTTTTGTGAGTTAAAGGGAACGAAAATGAAGAAAGCTGTTAGGAGCTCTTACTCGTTTATGGCAGCAACAATGCAGGACGATAATAAGTGCTTTAGGTTCAGGGAAAAAAGGATTATGTTTTCCATGTTGACATGGATAGGCTGCGGCCTACATGCCTAATCAATGGACGATATAGGCTGTGCACGTTTACTACCTCTCTCGTAGTCTCGTCCCACCACTACCTCTCTTCTCAATGTCGCTTTCAGGTTTCAGCACAAAGGGGCAGGAGTCTCACGTGGCGAGAGAGAGAGAGAGAGGACACATGATCAGTCAAGCTCCTCATTAGAAAAAAAAGCCCTCTTGAGCCACTCTCGCTACAACTTGATCACCTGTCCTTCTGCAGTTCTGCAAGGCTATCGGGCAGGATTAGTGGTGGCGTCCAGCGAATTACATTCATCAAGTGAAATTGCCCGATATCAGAACAGAAAACATCGCGAAAACCCGTCCAAACTAGCACTCGCTAGTGTTAGTGTTGTAGTCATATCTGCTCCCGCGTACAAAAAGATGGAGGCAAATAATAACGCATGGTCGCCGCAGCAGCTGCTGCTGCTGCGAAGAGCAACGACACGACGGCGACGACGACGACGATTCCAATCTTCGTCGCCTTCGGCTTATGCTGCTGCCGAGAACTTCGCTTTCCCACACGGCGGCCGTCTCGCCGCGGCTGGCGGTGGCGGCTGGAGACGCGCGCGCCGGGGTCCCTCATGACGACCTTGCTGCCGACCAGCACGGAGTTGGTGTTGTTCACGTAGATGTTGACGCAGTGCCCGCCGCTGCAGCTGCAGCAACTTGACGACGACGCCGGCGCGCGACGCGTGACGGACATGGCGGAGAGGCGAGATCGTTGCATTGTATTGTACGTAAAAAACGTAAAAGGCAGAGGCGGATTGCTGTGAGGCAAAGCAAGGCATAGAACCATTTTTGTTTGGTTCCACGGCGGGTAATTGGCATTTGGCAAGCAGTTTTTTTTTTCTTTCCGCGGCTTGCAGGACACGAGCGCATGCGCTTCCCCGCCGCGATCGGGCGGATAATCCGTATACTAAAGATTCGGGAAGAAAATTCTGTGCAACCCGCGTCCGTGCGTCCATGCCTGCGATGGCCACCGCGTGGACCGGCAACCAATCTGACACGTTTCTGGCTATCTCGCAGACATGCGTTCCCAGGTGAACGCCTGGGCCCACCACAGCGCCCACTCCTCCTCCCCATGGGCCCATCGCCCACCTAATTTTCTTCCTTGATAGGAGGTCTGCGGGAAGAAAATTCTGTGGGCATGTGAAAGGAAGTTTCCGTGCAGGAGCACAGGCTGTTCCATCGAAACTAGTAGGTGTAGTCCTATATATTCCTTTGAAATGAAACACTGGTTACCAGTGGTAGTGGCGAGTCCCAATAGCTTGAGGTCTTGCAAATTTCAGAGAGCAATGGGTGTAGGTGGAAACCCGATGTGGCTCTGGAACGAGTGGGGAATCCAAATCCTCGTAATCGTAATTTTCACGCTGCAAATTGTTCTTCTCCTCTTCGCAGGGATTCGTCGGCGCAAAGCCTCCGCCGCTCTGAGGTTATTCCCTATGGCTGGCGTACCTCATGGCGGACTCCACGGCGATATACACTCTGGGCCACCTCTCCATCAGCGGCTGGTCGAGCGAGCACCAGCTGGTCGCGTTCTGGGCGCCCTTCCTCTTGCTGCACCTTGGTAGCCAGGACACCATCACTGCCTACGCACTCGCGGACAACCAGCTCTGGCTGCGCCACCTGCTGGCTCTTTTCGTGCAGGCCCTGGGAGTTGCTTATGTCCTCTACAAGCATATTGGTCGCGACGACGCCACCATGGTCGCGGCTGCGCTCCTGATGTTTATAGCTGGGATTCTCCAGTAGGTCCTCCAGCACGGACGGCATCCGGAGATCTGTTAAGAAAGAGCAGCAAAATAAACTAGACCATGCGAGGACCACGACGAGGAAGCTCACCCTGTGCCTGGGTCGCCTCGAGGTCCAAGGGAAGACCGTGACGAGGAAGAGCTTCTGTTGTTTGCTCACTCCCAGTTCCATAATGTTGTCAAGCATGCACTGGTGGACTCCTCTATAGTTGTAGTAGAGGATTCGAATAATAGACCAATATTGTTCTCTGATCCATGGAACTCCAAGGATGTGTGCAGGCTCATGGAGTTGGTGCTCTCCCTTGTGTATGACTTCATGTACACCAAGGCACCGGTGATCCACAACTGGTATGGCTACTGCATGCGTCTGTTTGCACCTGTATCAACTGTCACCGTGTTCATTCTGTTCCAGCAATGTAGCAAGCATGGTTATTACAGCAGGGTTGACGTTGTTATCACGAACATCCTGCTTGTCGGTGCCTTCCTGTTGGACATAGCATCATTGTTCAGGGCTATAGGCTCGACCTGGACATGTGATTTCTTGTGCACAAGAGAGTGGCACTAGCTTGGACGTTTTGTTATATATGTCTCAAGTTACAGGAAGTGGTCAGGCTCCATTGGGCAGTATAACCTATTGCTCTCATGCGCCCATGACAAGACCAAGCTTTGGGACCAGATGGCAATGAAGATGGGCCTTGAAGATTGGTGGGACAACATGCTTTACTCGGAGACTCGATTGATTAAACAAGATGTCAAGGAGTTGGTTTTCGAATGGGTGTGGCGTGTTAGGTTGATCTCCACCAATTGGCCCGGTCAATTGGGCCCTTGATCCGTGCCCTGGTCAGGGGCACTCAGCCTTTCTATTGGCTGATGCCCCCCTCCCCCGTCGCGCGGTGCCATAAAAGGACGGTGGGGGCTGGGGCACAAGGCACGAGGTTCACCGGTAGCCGCCAGTCCCACCCCGAAGTTTCTAAACCTAGTCCGATCTAAAGGGGCGCTATGAGCGACGGAAAACGCCATCGCCTTCGACTGCCGTCACTGCACCGCGCCTGCACTGCTACGACACCAACGGCCTCATCGCCGCGGTGTCATGGCCGCAACTGCCCTAGGGCGAGATACATCACCAAGTCTCCTATCTAAGCTAAGTATTACCCACTGATCTACGCCTAGAAGTTCTTTCAGTTCTATCAATGGTACCAGAGCCATGGTTGCTAGTGTGTAGATCGAGTGTGGGGTAGAAAATTGAAAAGATATCGAAGAGATAGAGAAGCAGAGGGTTCGATCCAGTTCGGATTGAAACCCTAACCCTAATCGGGGGAAGAAACAGAGATGCAGAGGGTTTAACCAAACCCTAACCCATCGGGAAAGAAGAACAATGACTCAACCCGAACCCTAACCCATCGGGGAAGATGAACAGTAACACGAACCCTAACCTAACCCTAACCCTAACCCTAGATCGGACCGCTCCGAGAAGAAGAGAAAGAAGAATCAAGTAGAAAGAATAAGGGGAAAAGTTTTAGGGAGGCGGCTTACCTCGCCGGCCTCCACTCACTGGAGCATTTCGGGAAAGACTCCTCGCTGGCGCACCGCGACGCGTGCTAGGGTGCTCGCCGGCACACCGCGACGCGCTCACCCGCTGTGAAGCGCGCACCGGCGAGGGGGCCGGTGACGGCACCACCACCCTCTGCCAGCTCCGGTGGCCGCTGCTGCTCTAGCGCTCGGTCACTGCCGCTGAGAGAGAGAAAGGGAGAGAGAGCGTGGGGCCAAGGGTAACGGCGCAAGGCCGCTCGACGGCGGCGCGCTCCGCCTCGAGCGAGCGCGCTCACCGGCGAGGGGCCCCGCAGCGGCGCCACCATCTCCGACCGCCGACGTCCTAGAGAGAGAAAGGAGGGAGAGCCGGCCGTCGTGGGTGGAGAGAGAGAGGCAGGGGAAGAAAATGAGATAGGGTTCCGAGGGAGCGTCGTCGTCGCTGGTTTGATCCGCCGAGACGCGCGCGTGTCCGTCCGATCTACATCAATGGTGTAGAGGCGACAGGCCAGAGGTTGGCCCAGGCAGGCGCGAGCGGGTGAGCCGCTTTCCCGGTCCAGGCCCAGGTTGCGGCCTATGAGGGAGCCGCGCGCGCAAGGCAGGCTGGGCCGGTTTTGCTATCGGGCCGAGCAACAGTAAAGAATTGGTCAAAGAAAATTGTTATTTCCTGGAAAATGATTAATGCCTCAAAGAAAATTAGTAAAGAGAATTTTCTTGTGGGTAAAATTCACTAATTATGTTTAAATTTTCGCTGCAAAGTTTAAAGTTTATTATCTTCTAATTAAATTCGAACCAAAGGGAGAATTTAATTTGAAGAGCAGTCATATTTAGTAAATTATGATTATGCTTATCCTTTAATTAAATTGGAACCAACGGAAAAATTTAATTAGAAGAGTAGTCCATTTTTTAAGTCAGATTATGGTATTGTCATTTTCTGATCAACGTTGATGATAACAATATTATAATGAATTCAAGTTTGAGGTTTAAATATCTAATAAATTTCACACCAACATGGTCAATTTTCAGAGAGTAGATAAGGACCAAGAAATGCTCCTGAACTAATAAAATATATTTTATTAACATGTTTCAATGAAGTTGATTAATCTTCTAATTAAATTCAAACCAACGGGAGAATTTAATTTTAAAGAGTAGTTATATGGATTTCAAGTTAATTTATGAGTTTTATGTATTAATTCTATTTTCTGTCCAACGGTGATGTAGAATTGATGCAGAAGCATATTCGACAAGATCACTCACCTGCATGCAACAGGCTGCAATGCTGGGGTATGTGAATAAAAAGGATTGAGTCAAGACAGTTTAAGACAGTTTTTGTTAGTTTACTATTTTTCTGATTAAATTGGAACCAACGGGAAGATTTAATTGAAAAATAAAGTATAAGTGAATGTTTTTTAGTTGTCATGACTAAGTTTTCGTATAGATGTATCCCGCATGGGGAAAAGTTTTGGCATAGTACTTAGAGAGAATTCCTTATTTGATACTGGAAAAATGAGTCGTTCCTTTCTTGGCCCTAAAATTTTCTTCGTTCCCTATTTGACACTCACTTCAACTTTCATCCCCAATTTGACACTACCGTCAAATCCGTTAGCTAACGGTGTTAATTGGCTGTTAAAAAGACGTTTTTGCCCCTAGAAAAAAAGCGGCGAAGCAAATTTGAGAGGAAAAAAAACCTGCGCCCACCTCTGATGCATGCGCCTAGCTGCAAAAAAAGGCGCAGGTTTTTTTTCCTCTCAAATTTGCTCCGCCTCTTTTTTTTCTAGGGGCAAAAACGTCTTTTTAACAGCCAGTTAACACCGTTAGCTAACGGATTTGACGGTAGTGTCAAATTAGGGATGAAAGTTGAAGCGAGTGTCAAATAGGGAACGAAGAAAATTTCAGGGCCAAGAAAGGAACGACTCATTTTCCTAGTGTCAAATAAGAAATTCTCTCTAGTACTTATGCTAGTCAATCCTGCATGACGGGAGAAGTTTTGTGATGATTCACATGTTTTGTATCCCGTATAGTGAGAGAAGTTTAGATAGCTCTTATGCTGTCATAGTATTGACTTTGGCACAATAGAAATGCATCGTCATGGTCAATACTAACCAAAAGATAAAAAAAGATGCAAGTGTGACTTGCAAAAGCACTACTAATGAAAGACCTCGTTAAGTTCTCAAAGTGAAATAAGAAAAATATACTCCTATACGAATCAAGAAATAACTATGTTCGCATGACATAATCATGTGAATGAAGTAAGTTATATGTGTCTTCTCGTTCACAGGTTTTCTGAATAGTTTTTGAAATTATGGTAGTAAAATGCATGCCATATTTCGAGGGGGGAAATATGAAGATCAATTAAAAAAAATACTCTTCATTAAGAGTGAGATAAAAGATCAATTAAGAAAGATACTCTTCATTAAGAGCGAGATAAAGATTAATTAAGATAAAACCATTGGAGGAGTACAATGGTCACAACAATGATACCCCTAAGCAAAGAAATAGCTAAATTTTTAGATTTTTTAAAGTTCTGACAGAAAGATAGCGTAATCAGCCTCAAAGATGTTAAGGTGGTGCTTAAAACACCATATGAGGTTTTAACGGATTAAACCCAAAATAAGATATTTAAAGATACACTATCTTTAGAAAAGATGGGAAGATCTGGGAGAGCATGGTATGTAGAGGTATGTAGAGACCTAAGACTTGAAGAGAAGCGGACTACGTGCCCACTTTAGTGATTCAAAACAACGAATTTCTCAATACCTGTTGATGTTGTATGACTTATATAACACATGTTGTTGGCTTTTCGAAGAAGATAAATAATGTAAACAAGGATCTTATGATACAGGAGCCTATAGAATCAATTGCCTCTTGGCAATGAAGAGCAAAAATAGCCCCATCTAAAAGTGCTAGTAGCTGAGGCCCCAGAAGGTCTCAAAGAATTAGTAAACCAGTTTTTCTGATGACTATAAAGTCTATGTTAGTAAAGAAATTCAAATGGAGGGTGATCCCACCTCGTTTGAAGAAGCCATGAGAAGCGTTTACTCGTTTAAATGGCAAGAAGCTATGAAAGTTGAAATGAATTCGAAGAATACCAACGATGTTTGGGACTTAGAAGTAATTCCTAATGAAGCCAAAATAGTAGGTTGTTAATGGGCCTACAAGACAAAATATGACTCTAAAGAGAATATAGAAAGATATAAAGCATAACTTGTAGCAAAAGGCTTTACACAAAGAGGATGAATAGATTACAATGAGAGTTTTCTCCCCAGTCTTATGCAAGGATTCTTTTAGAATCATAATGGTGTTAATGGCACATTACGATTTAGAGTTACATCAGATGGATGTAAAGACGACATTCCTCAACGGGGATTTGTATGAAAACGTTTACATGGCACAACCCAAAGGTTTTGTCATGGAAGAAAAGAACGTATGGGATGCCTCCTGCATAAGTCCATTTATGGGTTAAAACAAGTCTTTAGACAGTTGTATTTGAAGTTGATGAAATGATAAGAAAGTTTGGGTTTTAAAGAAAATGAGAAGGACAATAGTGTTTATGTGAAGTTCAAGAATGAAAAATTAATTTTCCACATCCTATGAATAGATGATATTCTACTCACTAGTAGTGGTGTTAATCTGTCATTGGAGAAG